AATGTAACTGGAAATTTTTCTCAACTTCCAGTATGAATTTAAACAAACACTATATGCACTTAACATTGTAAAATTTGTTAGGAAATTTATTGTTCAAGGACACCACTTCAGAAAAAAATTGTTTAATATGAAAAGTAAGAAGTGAAAAATGTAGAAAAATAAAAAATACTGCGTCCAACTAATGATTGTCTATCCCTTGTCTCACGGGCTTCATCCAGAAGAAGACACAAGTGTTGTTCCTGCTGTGTCCGGTTCAGTTCTTCATGTTCATTCAGTGCTGAAATAAGACTTTTCTTTACTGGACTCTTTTCTCTTTCTCTTGTCTAGAAAGAAGAAAAAGTGGTCAATACAAGATTCATTCAACCTTTATTTAGACAGGTAAATCCCATTGAGCCTTGAGGACTCATTTACAAGAGAGACCTGATTTCAACAAAGAATGACGACAACAATGGACAACAGCAACAACAATAAACAGTTATAAAAAGTCATACTTTTTTTTTTAACAAATAGGATGGCTAAAAAGAAAAAAAATAACAGTAAAAAGAAAAGTAACAAAAAAACTGCTAGATTAGATACATACTGTTACATACAAGATACATACTGTTTTTGAATAAATGCATAAAACAAAGAAAGGTGCAGCTAACAGCTATAATAGCTATATTAATAATAATAATAAACTGATAAAATAAGAAAATGAAAAAAACTGATTTTAAAATAATGAAAATAATGTAATAATAACAATGGATATATGAATCAGAAAGTATTATACAGATACAGATATTCTTTATTGTCATTAAGAAAAACATAAACTAAAAATATGCTAAGCTAAGCTAAGCTAAGCACATAGCATAAAAACAATAAATACAATACACCGAACAGCAGCACGGACATGAGTCTGTGTGAACAGATGAGCACGAATGAACACAGCAACAGGAAACAGATCAGCAGCAACATGAAACAGATCAGCAGCAACATGAAACAGATCAGCAGCAACATGAAACATATCAGCAGCAACATGAAACAGATCAGCAGCAACATGAAACAAATCAGCAGCAACATGAAACAAATCAGCAGCAACATGAAACAGATCAGCAGCAACATGATGTGATTTTTCACAGTGATTATTCTGGTTAGATATTCATAAGGCTGCACAAACTCAAGTTCATGTTGCTGTATGACGTATTGTTCTGATTGTTTACTGCTGTTAGTGCTTAGTGTATTATTAGTAGATGTTTTTTAGTTGATATTTTTCATTCATATCTTAGATCTTATTACTGTTTTTCTTTTACATTTTATAGTCTGTAACTGGGACCCTGAGTACATAATTTCATCCCACCACATGTTCAACATGTGGTGCGTATTCAGGATTAATTTAACATTTTATTTTTTTACTTTAAAAATAAAACAAAAGGAAGTCCTTATCAGTACAAATAAAGTGATGTGGAACATGTTGCATCTTTTCTTACCAAGCACAGAAGGCTGCAGCGTTGTGCTGCTCTGTGAGGTGCAGGTGGACTGCGATGGAGACCTGTCAGGTGCAAACTCCGCTGATGGAGCAGGGGCAGAAACTGGGAGGCTTGAAGGGTTGAATGTGGAGTTTAGAGACAAACCGTCATGAGCGGAAATACGTTCTGGATAAAATACAGTGAGAAACAGGAACGGAGGACAGTTAGCATTTATGCAAATTAGCTTAGCATCGTAGCACCAATGTCCTATTATGGCATCAGCCTCTTTTGTTAGTTAAAAATATGTTCAGAACCGATGGGATGAGTAACTTAAAATATGTTTAAAGTTAGAAAACACTCACCATCTTCTATAAAGTAGAGCAGTGGCCGTGTCCAAACCACCCTCCAATCGCTCCATCTAGCTCGCTCTGAATTTTTTCGTCGGCCACCAAGCACAACAACACCTGCACTTCTGCATTTGACCACGGCTTTGATATTATTGGGTTTTTTTTTATATCTTCAAAATACGTACAAGATACGGTCCTCGAGTTATCGCTAATGGCAGGTGGTAGAGAAAAATGGCGGATCTGGTTGTTTGGAAAGACTCCACAGACTCCTCCCCCTGACCAATCAGTGACCGACAGTGTTTCTGATGTCACGGCTCGGCTTGCTTGGACCCCTTGAGAAGCCGGGCCAGAATACTGGAGGTGAGTAAGTATGAAGTACTAATGGAAAAGACCTCAAACATGGGCTGAGCCGAAATATACGACCCGCGCCGTGACAGTGGAAAAGGGGCAATAATGAACACATAAACTAGGCTAAGAACAGACTAATTACTACAAGAACAATGCTAAACAGATAACTGAAATTATTAAAAATGAACAAAAATGTTACCCATAATCAGTGGTTAATTTGAGCCGGATCCTGCTGGAACAAGATCCGGGAACTCTCTCATTTTGACCCGTTATGTTCTGGCAACTCTTCCCTCTGATCCGTCAACTCCGCCCCTAAAAGTTCAAAGTCATCACGCATTCTGATTTTGATTATTTATTAAAAAATACAACGAGAGGAGAGGTTACCCTCAGCCCGGCAGACCCAGTCTGTGGATGTTCCAGCCGCAGCATATGCGGAGCAGCTGCACGCTCCTTCGAGGAGCAGGACAGGAGCCTCTAGGAGGGTGTGTGGTGTGTGTGTGTGTGTGTGTGAGGACGGATCAGATAGTCACATTTACGCACAGAGGTGCTGCGCGGAGTCCTTCTGTCCTCCTCTCCAAAGACTGTCCCTCCTGAACAGGGCCGCACACTTAAAAATACCCCTTCTCCTCCTCTCAGACCCCCGAAACAGAAATTATCATTTATTCAGCAGAATAAATAAATCTACTGTGGACAGTGCACGTTACATACAGAAATGTCTCCAATCTCTACCCAGCGTGTGCACACATCATCAGGTGTCTGAAATCCTGCTACATTTCAGACAAAATAAATAAAAAAGCTTACTGTGAAAAATAAATTAAAAATATAAAGAGAGAAATGTTTGAAGTTATTCACATTATACAACACGTTTCAAAACAACGGCACTAATTTGTCAAAATAACAACAGTGATCGAAATTTCAAAAAGACTGTCCAATTTACTTTAATAAAAAATGGATGGACTGATGGATTGACTGATGGATGGATGGATGGATGGATGGATGGATGGATGGATGGATGGACGGACGGACAGATGGATGGACTGATGGATTGACTAATGGATGGATGGGTTGATTGATTGATGGATTGATGGACTGATGGCTTGATTGATTGATTGAAGGATTGATTTTGGGGAGTGGTGGCGCAGAGGTTAGAGAGGTGGGCTTGTGATCCGAAGATCGCCGGTTCACGCCCCGGCCCTGACAACATCAAAATTGTGGGTGGGGTAGGTGAAACACACACACTTGCCCCCACCCTCATTCGCCCCACTCTGGGCCCATGAGCAAGGCCCTTAACCCCCACCATGTGCTCCCTAAAAAAACAGGTCTCTCTTGAAAATGAGCTCTCGTGGCTCAATGAGACTAACCTGGATAAATAAAGGCTAAAAAAAAAAAAAAAAAAA